CCGGAAATCCTTTGCCATGTTTTGTTTCTTATTAATAAGCCCAAAATATTACAATTAACGTAGAATATTTTTTTTCAATATTTATTTTATAGATTGCCTACAATGCAGAAGTTTAAAACACTTTTCTCCAGCACAAATTCTGTTAGATAGGTCATAGTCTTATTATATGTGTCATCAAAGTACTCTAGACCCTTTCATGTAAGGGGTTGGCGTGGAGGACGGGTTTTTACCTTGTCGAAAATTAAGTTAATTATGATTTATACAATACAGACCGCTTCGAATGTTAGCTGATCGAAATAAATGCGTAAATACTAATTGTTCACTTATGCATACATGACTTCCGTACCAAGCCAATAAATAAACAAATGATTCAGATTTATTATTGCTATGGGGGACGTTACCAGTAATACATATAAAAAAATCAGCAGAATTTGAAAGATAATATTTTACAATTTTCTCATGTCAGGGCAAAATGCTAAATTAATGACTAAATCAAATTGTAATGTTTTATTTAAAACACCGATATACAAACTGAAATTACCCGATTTAAGACCCTCATTGTTGCTCCTGTACAAACTTTTTGTATACGAGTGAATATATTTTGATCATGTTAATTAATTTTTTCTGAAAACATTACCTCTTCTGTATCCATCAACAGTTACTGTACGTAATGAGAACAATCCAATCAAACTTAGGAACCAAATAATATACGATATTTTCAACTGAAACTGAAACTGAAACTGTTTTATTTGCTTAAACGCCTATTTCTACATATAATACATATTCAATGGCGTTGTACAATATCACATCAGAACATTAAAAGTAATAAATAAATGTAGTTTAAGAATAATAAAACAATTAATTCTGAATCTAAAATCTAAAACATGGTATCACAAATAAAAGAAAGTAATGTTATTTAAAATAATTAAAAATATGGCTATATTATTAAAGGACATGGTAAAAAACATGCAAATGTTACTTGGATAATAAATACATTGTAAAATCAGATATTCATCACAGAGTTAATGCGCAGAAAAATATTGTCTCTTAGTTTCTACACTTTACTGACTTTGACTAAAAAAGATTAAAATAGTCTCTGAAGAAGTGAGTCTTCAAGTGTTTCTTGAAACTATCAACTGATGAGCATTGTCTGATATTTAATGGAAGATCATTCCAGAGTTTCGGGCCGATTGTACTGAAACTTCTGTCACTGAAAGTTTTACACTTATTAAAAGGCACTTCATAACTGTCAACTGAAAATGATGATGATCTCAGAGAACGTTTTTGAACTTTAGGTGTAAGCAGGTCGGTCAAATAAGTTGGTGCATTTCCAACGTGACAGTTGTACATATATACAAGAATCTTGAATTGTATTCTGGCCTTGATGGGCAGCCAGTGTAGATCGTATAGCGCCTGCTTAGAACTGTCACTTTTCCTACGATTCAATACTAGTTTGGCACACATGTTTTGAATTCGCTGTGGTTTTGCAATATCACAGTTTGAAATACCATACAGAATCACGTTGCAATAGTCTAAGTGAGAAATAACGAGTGAGAGTACAAGAGTTTCTGTTGCATCTTGTGTTAGGAATTTGCAAATATTTTTTATGCGAAAAAAGCTCAACATAGCTGTTCGACACTTTATCTTGATGTGATGTTTGAAAGTCAGATTTTCCTCCAAATATGCCCCTAAATATCTGATCGTATTTTGTCGTTTGATCTTATCACCACAGATGTTAATTTCATCTTTAGACAGTTTACGCAACTGAGGAGCACTTCCGAAAATTATGTGTTCAGTTTTTGAAGAATTCATTTTCAACTGCTTAATAATAAAATGTTTTATAAGCAGGTAGCAACTACATAGTCCATAATGTCCTTTCATAATTTCGTTCGTGATTTACAAATACCTTAATGCGGAAATAATTTGATTTGCATTTGTTTTAACAATTCATAAATCTTTTGAGAAAAAAAGTCAATATAATATCGTAATGAAACAATCTTGGTTTTTAAGCTGGATACCTGTCAAACAAACTTACAATGAGATAGAAAGGTACACAAAATTGTTTATTGACAAAGAAAAAATGTCCTCGGAAACAAAATAATAATCGTATTTTTATGTTATTCTTAGACCGATTGGGTTGAAAAGCGTTGCATTTTTCAGATTCTGAATAGAAGTGAGAAAATGATCTGAAGTTTTGTATACAAGTAATTGATATAGACCTTCATCCAACAGAGTATTAGTTTCATTTTTATTCAAGTCCCGTTTTATCAAAAACGTCAGTGTAATTCAAGACAGGGAAAAGAGATACACAGTGACACAATGTATATAAATAAGGGTATCCTGAAGGGACACAATAAAAAACCAAGTAAATGATAAGGTTCTATTCTTCCTGTGTATCTGTTTGTGCGTTTATCTCTGAAATGATCGTATGCTCATATGTGCTGAGTTTTGGTTTAATTTGTGAAATATAAACAATATGAATAACTCATTGACTTTAATTTATTGCAAAATATATAAAGACACAGTTAAATAGCAAAAAGTGTTTTGTTTGTATTAAAATGACTTAATGCTAGTATTATCATGAGCTTTGAAGCTTAATGTTTATTGATATTTAAAAAACAAACAGTTGTGGCAATGTATTTGATGATAGAAAGTAAGGGTCTAACAGATAAACATAGTACTACAGATTTGATATCTTAATTACACACAGTTGTTCAAAAAGTATTATCAAGCAATTCAAAACTCCTTAGTGCCTTTGCATATTATGAAAAGGCGTTCGTTACAGTTTTAAATGAAGTCTTATGTACAAAATAGAGATAATTTAACATGGTCTATTAACGAAGAAAATGTCGATACCTTTGATTATCTTGTTGTAAAAGTTTATCACGCGTGCAATATTATAAATGCTGTTAAGGCATTGATCGACCAAGCTCTTAAAGCATACACAAATATAATCATTCTCATTGTTCAATAGAATCAAAATAAATGTTAAAACGCAGTTGACTTTAACTTCTTAGATACTCCCATACATCTGTATGGTTCTAAAGTCCGGGAGATTTAGGATTACAAAGAGGTTGACAAAAGCCACCTCAAGTTCTGTAAAATGGTTCTTGAATGCTTGTATCATTGAACAGCTTTGTCGTTTTCCCCTTTCTATTATTTGCAAAAGTGTGCTCTTAAATACTTGTTAGATATTATGAAATCACCAAACTCACTTAATAATATTATTGATACTGAATTATGTTATTTGTTAATAAACAGCGACATAGTAACATGGGCATCAGAAATTAAATATTAATTATATGATGCATAGTTCTTTATAGAATACAAACAACCTTGATACAAACTTTACGCCAATGTAAAAACAAAGCTTACGTGACCAATATGTACAAGTGTGTAAGTTATCCTACTGTAGACAATTTAAAACTGTGTTAATGTACGAAAAGTTCTTAGATAGTGTTAAATATGATACACATAGATAAGAAATTTCTCCTCTAAAACTATACTCCCATTTTAAAAAAAATCGAAAGAGGAGCTATTCTGGTACGGATAAAAACTTAAGAATATGTAAATTTGTTCTCAAAATGTTGAATCTGAATACTAGAATACTACTTCTTGCCCAACGTAAAGTGAATCTAGTCAAAACTATAAAATTAATAATTACTTTGAATGACTGGATAAATTCTGAAAAATATTAACTTCATGTAACCAAAGTAATATAAGAAGCACGGTTAGATATATTTGACATGCTTTGAAATTAAGAGCTGAAATGATTACAAATATTGCTGCTTCTTCAGTCTATAATTACTTCTTAACTATATGTTTTCTCAACGTAGATTTGAATTTCTTGTTTGCTTATTTAAATTTTAACAGTTAACCAATATAGCTGTTTTTCTAAATTGTCGTCACTCTTTATTTAAGCTAAACTGTTATTCCTTGTATGTATTTATGATATCTTGTCCATCCATTTTATATAATTATGTACATGGTCAAAGAATTTTGTATGCCGATATGTCAATAAACCTGAAACTAAAATTATTTAGACAACATTTACTCTATCGTCTATATAAATTAAGTGCGTGAAATTACAAAACAAATAAAAACATATCTTAGTTCCTTGTTTTTCTTTCAAAGCGGTGCGATTCATCATTCGATTGTCAACCACATTTTCCTTATATTAAGGAAATTATTCAAGACATCAAAATAAAACACATATAATAAGGTAATGAAATATCATTCAATTTGATAACTTGTAAAAACGACGAAATAGAAAATTATTGTATTCAGATTCGTAATATCATAACTATAGTACAGGTATCAAGGAGATACCAATACATGTATGTAAAATTTTATTGCGTATCCAATGACCAATGTAAATGACGTACCGTTCTTCTTAGTTTAAACATATTATCCATTCAACATCCAATATAATGCTATTCTTCAAACAATAACTAAATATATTTAGAGCGATTTCTTGCAAATCAATTTTCATGGACCCTTTTTTAACAATGGTGCTAACAGCCTGGTTATCAGTAAACCATTTGACCTTGTGACCTATCAATATTTGTCTAAGAGATTGTATAACTCTAAAAACAGCAGTTAACTCTCTCCAAGTAGAGGATCTTAACTTTTCAGTATTTGACCATAAACCATGAGCCACCCCATTTACAGTTTCCACCTCATAACCTGAAAATCCTGTGACACTGCGTCACTATAGACACACTTAGTGAAAATATCAACAATATGTAACTTGTTAATATTCAAAATTTGTAAATTTTCTTTCCAAAAATTTAATTGAGCCATGCTTTCTGCACTTAAATGAATGTAAGATACCCAAGAAAATGCGCTGACTATATCTATGCTTAAATTTCGTGTCATTATTTGAGAAATATGACCCAACACAATGGACATAGATATAATCTGACCTACAAAACTGGCAACTTTTTTCACATGAACCCGCCTGTGTTTCTTTATGGAATTTTCAACATCCATTAAAGTATTCAACGTCTTTGAACCCTTCTATCAGGTATATAAACACTGTTTAGAGTAGAATCAAGAACAGTCCCCAAAAACTCAAGATTTTGCACTGGTACCCACAAAGACTTTTCTGCCTTAGGGACAAACCCAGATTCAAGAAGATCATTTTTTACTGAAAGTGCAGTATCTTGGCAACCAGGTAAATCTTTATCACATCCGAAACCATCATCTAAAAACATAATAATCATTTTCCTTCTCCTCTCCATTTTGCAATTAGAGGCCTTGTTAATTTGGTAAAAAAATATACGGGGCTGTACTTATTCCAAAAGGTAATACTAAAAATTTGAAAAATGTAGTTTTTGCCATATTCATTCAGTCCATGAAAAAACCTAAAAAATCAGTATGAGATGGAAATATTGAAATGAAATGATAAGCAGAATGAATATCAAATTTGTACATGTAACAATCGGGTTGAAAATAATTGAGTACGATTCTGATATCCTCGTACTTTACATACTGTTTCCACAAGTGTTTGTTTACATATCTTAAATCAAGTATCAAACGTTTTTTCCCTGATGACTGAACTGAAACTGTCAAAGGATTAACAACAGTAGGAATTTTATCACATTTTTGAATCGACCCTCTTAATAATAAATCAGTAATTGCTTCATGTACAAAACTACTTTCATCTAAAGTAGATTTATTATTCTTTAAAATACATGCAGGTGGCAAAGAAAAGAAAGGAATTTTATACCCGTTTGTGATAACATCCAAAATAAATTCATTAGTTCCGGTTGGATACCTCTGCCTGGTGTAAGTGCCTGACACGTATGGACAGTCTTTCCTGTAGTGGGAGAAATCCCCGCATGCGAAGCAGCTGCCATACACCTTTCCTGAGTAGGGACGAAAATTAGATGTACTTGCCCCTGCCTGGAAGGTGGCCGAAGCGGAATTCTGCGTACCCCATGACTGAAGTGGAGGATTCCTACCATAAGAAGGAGGCCCTGGAAGTAATGCATTCTTAGATTGCGATGTAGACGACTTTTTCTGCTGACTTCGTTTACGTTTACGTAAAGCCCTGTTTTCTGCCTTAGATATTTTGTTTTCGTCCTCGCTATCGCTGGCAACTGGATTAATCTCGTATTGGCGCATCGTTTCCCAGCCACCCTCACTCGTATCTGCAATTCGGATGAGTTTATTACGTTGGTGAACTTTTTCGTCAGTTTCCTTCAACAAGTCCAATGCGTAATCAAGTTTATTGTTTTGAATAGCCCAGGTGGCTTGTCCAACCAAATCAGACACTTGAGAGTTGAAAGTATATTGAATCTTGTTACCATTTTTCTTCCACGAAAGTTCTTTTTCTTTCAACTTTTTGACCTCCGACGTGACGGAAAAATTGTTTCCTTTTAACGTCTTCTCTCAAAGAACTGATTTCTTGTCGCTGCCCTTTTAATTGATCGAGTACCAACTGCAACGTTTGGTTGATATCAGATTGTTGAACTTCAGTTTGACGAGAAGGTGAAGAATCCATGTTAAAAATTAAAGCGACTGTAAAGTATCGATACCCAAAGCTGAATGACTTTCAATTACAATTCATAATGCACAGTAACTCGTGCATACGTAATTGAACAAAACAACTTCTGATTGGTACATTCAAAAGATCTATCCAATCCAAAGGAAATTATTTACCGCCTAATTCGCTTCACTTAACCGGCGGAAAATATATTTCTTTTTTGTCTGTCTCTCTGTTTTGTATCTTCTCTTTGTCTCTATCTTGTCTGTGTCTTTGTCTTCTACCTTGTTTGTGTCTTTGTCTTCTATCTTGTTTTGTCACAGTCTTCTATCTTCTCTGGGTCTCTGTCTTCTATCTTCTCTGGGTCTCTGTCTTCTATCTTCTCTGGGTCTCTGTCTTCTATCTTCTCTGGGTCTCTGTCTTCTACCTTGTCTGTGTCTCTGCCTTCTATCTTGTCTGTGTCTTTGTATTCTATCTTGTTTGTGTCTTTGTCTTCTATCTTGTTTTTGTCACTGTCTTCTTTCTTCTCTGGGTCTCTGTCTTCTATCTTGTCTGTGTCTCTGCCTTCTATCTTGTCTGTGTCTTTATCTTCTATATTTGTGTCTGTAGCTATATTTATCATCTATGTTATCTCTACCAGAATGTGAACGATAAGCGTCACGCCAACCAGAGTTCCTAAGAATCACGTCTCCTAGAATTGGAGTAACGATAATCGTACATACTTAATGTAAGACATGTGTAGCCACAAATGTCTCTTGATCCTTGTATATTTTTAGTTGGGCGATAATTGTTGTTTTCCGTTTACTTCAGTTTAAACTATTTATTCAATAACTAGTACATAATTATACACAATTTACATTTTTCATAAATAGCTACATATATATCAATTTCTCTCCTACTTTTATTTAAATTCATATTTAATAATGATTTTGTTCATATGCATGCAACTTTTCATTAATAACATGTAGCAATTCATCTTTAATAGAACAAAATGTCTTATTTCCTTTTATGTACAATTCTCGGTCGGTGCGGAATTCCTTCTTGACAATTATCTCGAACATTGAGTCTGATGGTCATTTGTCATTCAGATATCTTAAGGAATGAGTATTCGATCACTTCTGAACAAGTGGTTACTACTGGTAAGTTATGGTGGATCAGCCGCCGAGATATGACTAACAAAAATGGATTTAAATCGGTGTAAAAAAGAAGAAAAAAAACATAAAGTGAAATATAACAAATGCAATAATGTGGGCACTTTTGAAATGATGCCAAAGTGTTAACCGCGTCAGTTTATACAATATACATTTCTCACATAGGTCATGGTTATCTAATGCCTGACTTGTGTCGTAAGTGTTAGAGTGACCAGAACAAATAAGAAGCTCTCAGCTTACACTAACACTAATGACAAAATGCAAATTACTTTTACCAGATATTTATTGTGCTTTACATGAACCATGGTAGTACACAGATGTTATATACATTTCGTATAAATAAATAATAATTATGTCAAACAATCGCGTTATCTTGTCAAAATGCGGCGTTGACTGGTCTAAACAATGTCTAATTAATATGTTAAACTTTACGCTGTTCATTAAAAGCTTTTCTCAGTCTTACTACGTCAAAAGTTCGTGGGACATCTTGTCATTTTTTGTTGACACACCTGACCCGGCCAGAGATCAGGTCTTCACTGCTCTACCGGTATGTTGCTATGAAGTCAGGGTCTATTATTTCTCACATGACTATGTCTATTAAGGCTAACCAATTAGTCAAATATAGAATTCTTCACCATTTGTCTTTCCGCGTTTTGTTCCAAATTGTTTGTACATGTCCACATAATTTGTTAGCGCTATTGTATAACTGTACGATACTGTTTAGACAAGTTAGCAACACCACTGGTCAAGATAACATGACATTTGACAAATAAATAGAGCTATGGCAAGATAACCCCAAATTTGAACATAACAATCTGGCAGTGTGATAATATAAGACAGTCTTTAGACAAGTTATTATCTCGTTTACACAAAACAACATAACAGTTTAGACAAGTCAACGCCACATTTTAACAATTTAATTAACACATGTCCACACCACACTTACAAACTCGCTTGCATGATTTCAGTCGGCCATATTCCCTAGCCACGAATGATAACTCATGCTTTCTTGTCTTAAATTCATCACATGTAAACAGTATATTAAATGGAAAAGAATATTGAGATATTTGGGCGCAGGGGAAACATCCGAATGATACCCACGGTCAAATTTTTTAATAACTCAGACATGGTGTTTTGGAGGTACTGGAAACTTTTGATATTATTCTTTCTTGTTTTTGTGTATGAAATTGGCAGTATTTTTGGTGTTTTTTTTTACCTGAAACTAAGCATTTTGGTAGCTGTGTATGTATTTGTGACTCTCCGAATGGAGGTGAAAAAGTTAAAAATGAAGCTTTGATAGATGGCGCCAAACAAGTAAAAAAAAAATGGATAAATTTTGTGAAAAATATAAACGTATGACAGACACTTTATTGGTTATTTTTGAAAACCCCATTGATTGCACTGTGATATTTTTAAAGGAATCGGGCGAATTCTGGAGTATGCTGTACCTTCATGAAGATTGCCCATATTGGTAAACTTAAGGTGTCTTTTGCTGGGTGGGGGTAAAAGTAAATTGCAGTCAGTCATTATTTTTAGGAGCAAACATGCTTCAATGTATGTCATATATCCTTGAATAATGCTGTGCAACTGGTTATCTGCCTGTGAAATATTTGAAATTGTGTTTCTGGCCACACTGAAATACAAAAATGTTCATTTCTAGGTCCCCTGTCCCCTTTTGTTTGACTATCAGTTTAAAAAGCAAAATATCAATATGGAAAACAACTATGTGTAGTTAATGTGTGTTGTTTGACTGATATATTAGTTGTAAAAACAATGAACACTAAGTGTAGCAGCAGCCGAACACACGACTCTTCGTAGCAACCACGTTGAAAACGTGAACGGTCACTTAACGAGACATGGCAAAGCGCATGCTCACGCACTAACTTCCGCTCTATCGAAATACTGCATATACATAAAGCGAAAGTTCGTAAGTGCACCACCATTCGAAAACAATAGAATGATTATTTGATAGAAGAAGACATAGTTTATGCATGTAAACACAGACTTTTGGCAAAATAACATGCCAATTTGAAAAATTGAATTTTTAGACAACTCAACACTACAATTTGGTAAGATAGCATGCACATTTGACGAAATAAATCTGTGTTAAGACAAGTCATCAAAAAAAACGTGTGTAAGTAAACAAAACTGTTATACATAATAAGACGTTTTCAGGGAAGAAAAGAAGTGCAACAACAACAGACAGTTATGGCTTTCCATATTTACATGTCAGTAACAAGTAATAAAATGAAAACATGTCTCCGATGCAGCAAGTGTATGATAATACATTTGACATTTAACAGACATACTTACACTTAACAAAATACTTGTTAATGACGCAGTTACTGAAGAATCTGTGCAATTTAATTTTGTAGTTTATTTTCCAATTTATGTTTATCTATGACATGTCTGACATCTGGTTTTGCTCTTGATATTGATTAGGCAATACTGTATTCCTAGAAATTATTTCGAGCTTATTAAATTAGCGATTCGCGTTGAATACATGTCCGCGAATGTTTGTATCCGAGAAAAAGTTGCATGTAACAAATCCGCGAAAATGTGTAGCTTAGAATTTCTACAGCGCACATCATTCACATAAAAGGCTACATACAAGTTCAAAATGTTTTTAACTCCAACTTGCCACTTAGGCAGTTCACACACATTTAGAAATGCACTAGCTTGCATAAGAGATCAACAGAAGCATGTTAAAGGACTCTTTAGGAACCGTAACAATAGTTAAACAGTATATGCTATCATTCCTTATATCATGTTGTGCATTTTATTCTGCAAAATTTATATGTTGATATATACATTTTTTAGTTTATTTTTATTCAAAATGTAGGAATAGTAGAAATATTTGTAAAAACAGTAGGAGTATGGCCAAAAAGTAGGAAATTAGGCAAAAGTAGGACTAATTTGAAGCCTGTATAATAAAAGTGTCACATTGGCTTTAATCGTTAACCTAAAATGACATTATTTAAATAAGGGTCATCTAATAGGCTTTTTTCAATGTTTTTTTTTTATTTTCTAAAAAAAAAATATATAATATCCAATCCATAGAGGAAATCAAACCAGTATTTGTTTCATAAAATTTCAAGTCCCATTGCAAAAAAAAACCACAACAACACAATTTATTACATGTACTTCTTAAGGTACTGAATGAACATAAGAGCGGATGGAAGGCGTTTTCTTTTCGACCAGTGCATGTAATACAATAGGGAGATCCACTTCTCATATGTTGCTGTTTTGATTAAAGTTATTTTTCTGACAACATAAATATGTAATTACATGTAATAATATAAAAACATATTATCAAATGATAAAACCTTTACTGAATAAATCGAATAAACAAAACTAATATTATCGTTACTATTGGTTATTTGATAGAATTTTTAGTTTCTTTGCAATAACTTTTCTAATTTTAATATTTAACCTTTGTGAGAAAAGAATATTTAACTTAATAGTATAGTTCGACCCTCTGATTGGTTGCACTAATCTCAAATCAGATGTGATTACACAGTGAATCATCAATACGGCCGTCGGTCATTCGCTAATTGTATCTAGACGTCGTGCCGTACTTATGTAAAATATTGGTGGGAAAAGTTATGCGTGGTTGGATTTACACACCTTTGCATGTATTAATGAAATTCTTATGTCATTAGCCTCGAGCAAACGTAACTTGCACGGTGATATATATAAATATTTAAATGGAGATTTGCACTTATCTACTTCAATTGCTGTTTGAAAACCTGTTTGTTTAAATCACTGATTTGGGATAACTCGTCCAGGTTTATTCACGTTTTAAAGGTAAATATATTTAAATAAGACTTGACATCATTTAAATAACTGTTTGAAGTGTATTGTTTCCATATCTAATACAATCACAGATCAGAACAGAGCAAAACTTTATTAACAAAACAGAACAGAACATATTCACGTATTTTATTTGAAGCTCATTGTCGTGAAACAATGAGAAGAAAAAACATTAACCCTAGAACTTTACACGCAGTAACACAAGAGTATACAAGGTATCACAAAGTTTGAAAGCATCTTATCATCTAATTCTATAAAAATGACTCAAAATTTATCAAGATATTTATACTTTGCCTTTAAAAGAAGAGGTAATTAACATTTTCTCTTAATTTGTGTAGTAAAAACTTTATGTATTTCATCACAAAAAATATTAAATCAAGATTTAGATTTTTGTCATATAACAAATATCCCTCCGCTAACACAGATTTCATAACATTTTGTTTTGCATATTGTTGCTAATAACTATGTTACCTGTCTATTATTATGCTAGAAACGTTGTTATAATGTTTAAAGCAAATAAACTGTATTGTATTGTATTATATTAATATATATTTAAGTGATGTGGAAAATGAGCATGTGAAGAGCACAGGAGATTGACATTCTATCAATAATTGAAAAATATAGGCAAATAATTAAATTATAACGGCAAATGTACCCC